ATTAAAAGAAAAAACAACTTTTGATTGCAAGGTCTTAACTCATTACAGCAAAAGAAAAAGAAAATATCAGCTGTTCTGTTTTTCAAGATCTCACGCAGAAATTGAAGGGAAATTTCAAAACCATTACCTCTCGAGCTTCTCGAATGACTGAATAATTTAGTAGGGGTAGACGAAGTTGCTGTTTCAAAAGGGTTTGTTTTTGTTGCCCCGAAGAATGCACTTTGGTTCTGATCCTGCTTGTGAAACTCTCCAGCAAAGACTACGTGATGGGGCATTCTTGCAGAACAGCTTGATAATTTCGTTTAAAGAGCCTGTAAATTTATGTTTAAAGTTTTATTGAAGGGATCAAATTCATTTTAATAACTACAAAATTTCCATTTAGAAGGGCATTGATACTAGCAACAGGAAATATAGAATACCCCAATTTAAAGTTCCTGCCGGAGAATAACCCACCTTAAATTAATAATAGTAAAATTTTATTAAAATTATAAAAAATTACATTTATTATATTTTTTTAATAAAATATTATTCAGTCAAAATACTGGCTAGCATTTACCTTTACTTAAAAGGATAATAGTCAACTAAAATTGGTCCACGATACAATTTTTTATTAATTATTCTTATTGATAGCCCAACATTAAATACTATGAACAGAATTTAATCATTGAAGCTTTTCAAATAAAATAGCCATAATATATATTAGAGTATCAACTTTCCTTCTATTTTATATTTTTTATTATGTTTATACAAATATTTAAAAAATAAATAAAACCATCTCATTCTAAGACAGAGAAGATCGTTGAACTCAAACAGTATTTACAGAAAATTTATATTTACTTTACTATATATTTTAAGATTCTCTACATATATTTTTTCTATTTTGAAAATACACTACAGTTTAATCTAATTTTAATATTTCATTTAATGAAACCGTTTACCAATGATCAAATGTTACTTTTTATGTTGAAATAACAAAAATACCCTTAATTTACTTCCAAACTCATTGCACATAATTCCTTGTGTATCTTAAGCATTATTAAAAACTTCCTCATAATTAGTAAATGTTTTACAATTAAACTCACGAGTTTATAAAAAAATAGAATAATTCAATGCTTAAATGTTTTTTTTAAGTATTAAAGTAATATAAGAAACTACAGAACAAAAACAATTAATTGTATATCTTCAAAATAATCAAAATATTTTAAAAATTAGTTACGTACTCTCAACTATTTTATAGGTGCTTCTAAAATAGATTTTAAAGAATAATCCTGATAGTAAATAATTTGAAAAATTTTAATTATTCAAAAGATATAAGAATGATTAATCGTTCTAAAATTCAATTATAGCATGAGTTTAATTGTAAATTATTTATAAAATATGAAAAAATTAAAAATTCTTAAAAAATACAGAAAAATCTGTCCTATTAGTCAAAATTTAAATTAAGCGTACTTTTATCACTTTAACACAAACAAAAAAAAATATTGATCGTTGAGTAATAATTTTGTTAATACAATATTAAAATTATATTAAAGTGTAATATATTTTATAAATAAAAGAATTACATAACTTTTTAAAAAAATTTGAATATATTTAAGAAATAAAAAATTGTAAAAAATGCAAAATAAAAGAGATTAAAATATTTAAATCTATAGATTTTCAAAAACTATGTTCCTTATTGTTGCAACTGATTTACTCCTCTTATAAGTTATCAAATGAATCGTATAAATTTAATCGTGACAACCACTTCTATCAATAATGCCTTGTATTTGCAGCATACACACTAATTAATAATTATCGAGTGATAAAGAATTTGGCTCCTGACGGGGCCAAAATTTAGGCATGAGCCATCCGTTCACAATCTGTTTTTTAGTATGTCTAACTATTTATGAGAAAAATAATTTTATTTCAGGTGAATTAATAAGTTTTTGTTCATAAATAATATAATTTTCAATATAATATTTCAGCTTCATTAATTTACTTAAAATGAAATCATTTATCCAGTAAATAAATTTTTAAAAAACCATTTTCTCCTATCAAAAGTGTCATTCATTTAGAACGAATGGCCTTAGCCATAATAAGGATTTGTGTGTTTGCCACGCCTCCGATTGAGTTTGGTGAAAAGGACCACATTTCTCAGCTTCTCATTGCCAATGTAAGGACCTCATTATTTCCTGCGAACGATCAACTTGTTCTAATATGGATTACTAATTAATATGGTCCTCCATGGTATTGGTCTTCACAAATTGCTATGTGCCAAACTATGAAACACGCCTAACTCAGAACGCGTCTGCAAAATATTGGAACATTGTTGTATTACGAAATGAAACATTACACAAGTGTAATTTCGTTTTAAATAATTATTCGAAATATTGAAGGTTTAACTCATTTTTTTTCTTTTAAAAAACAAGGTTAAATTCTATTTAGGCCTAAGGCTTTTCTCTTTTCCCCAGAATATATGTATAACAATGAAATTCAAAATAGAGACGAAAAGGAAACACGAACTGCTTTTATATCAGTTGATTCATTCTAGATGGATAAAAAAAACACACAAAGGCGAACGAAAGAAAAGAAAAAGAAAAAAAGAGGAGAATAAACGAAAAGAGGTCCCACGGAATTTCAAAATCTCTGAAGAAAATAAAAATTTGTCACAAAACACTTTTAACTCACTCTTTTTTTTGGCGGGATGATAAAAAGCAACCCACCTTTTTAATCAATTGCATCATTACCCATGAAGAAAGTTTAAAAGACTAAACAACCATACTGTCCTTCCCAATTAAAGAGAAAATGACCTCACCTTATCATATTCAACATCAAATTAGCACCACCAACTTCATTATGTTTTAGTGGCTATTGTTTTAGGAAGGATCATGGTCGAGTTGATGCGATTTTCATAATTCTAAAAGCACACATGATCTTTTACAGCTTGCATTTAATTTCATCTATACTCTTCTGATGATTAGTAGAGGGAACGTAGATGCACTTTTTAATTTCTAGTATAATATCGCCGACTCAACGAAATGTTTTTTTATGATTTGAAGTGAAGGAGAGCGTCTCATGTTAAAAGGATTTATTTTACTTCTTAAAACATAAATATATAATTTTTTCATTTGATCCCTTACCCCATCTTTCTTAATTAGCTCCGTCTTTGGAGATACATTATATCGTCATGACATATTGGCAAGAACATTTCAATTAATGATAAATATGATGTCAAAGTAAGGTTATGAGTTTCATATATGAGAAGCTAGCCAACCCACTACAAAATTTTGGCTTTGTATCGGACCAAACTAACCCATTACTATTCATTAGAGCCAGTACTTGAACTTGCACCTATATATATCTTGGTTTATGTAGATCACGTTTTGGTGACAAAAGCTCTCCTAAGTTCATTCAAGGTCTGATTGAATTTTGCTCTCAATAATTTATTTGCACTGAAATACCCTAGTGATTTTCAATATTTCTTTAAGAAAATGAGTGATGGAAGCTTACGACAGAAATTTATCATAGATTTGCTCTTTGAAGTGAAAATGCACCTAGGCAATGCTACCAACACTCCTATGATATCAGTTGTGAAACTTCCATTGGTGCCTTGCCTAATCTCAAAGTTTAAACATGTTTAAACTTTGAGTTCAAGTGAACGCAATAATAGATTTTCTTATATTATTGATACGGCCAGTAAAAATAAAACTGCAAAAGACTCCAAATAAGTCAAATATTATAGAATGAGCTGGAAACCCAAGCTGAGAGTGACTCTGTAAATAAGCGAATTTTGCTCAACAAGCTTTCGTCATAGATTCTGATATACCATAATATTTCGTGCATCTTCATAATAATCCAAATAAAATGGCCACATTTGGTGTGTAATCTTCTATCATGAATTGATCGAAGAGAAATTGAAGTGATAACAATGTTTAAGCAACCACTCAATGTTCCGAATGCTTCCAATGTTGTAGATAACATCAAGATGATGCAAAAAGCAGGCAGGCCAATTTAGAGTTGGTATTTATACTAATATTAATTTGTTTCAAGATTGCTATTTCCCAACAGCAAGCATTTGTAGTTTCCAATCGTGACAAATTCTTTACTTACGTATATCTTGTATAAACGTTATCTGCCAGCCCTACTAGCATGGCTCATGCTAGGGTACAGATATGATTGATTGGTAGGCTAAACAAATGGCATGATCATTTCTTACTTCTTAATTTAAGGGAGATGATATGAAAAATGCCGTAATATGACATACGATTTACAATAGAAAATCGTAGATCATTACCCAACTTGTAACTTTAATACGAACGACACAGCTGATTGAAATTTAATTATCATTTAGACGGATTTCCAATTTGATTCCTCGATCAACAACTTGTTTCAAGATAACTAGGTTTGACAGACAATTTAGAAAAAAGGGAGAAGGGGGAGGGGGGGGGGGGGAGGTGCCAAAGTTCAACTATTTAATTTTAAACCTATACGGATTGCTAGGCCCATTGTGTTGTGAAATGGATTGCTCTTAGTAATGATTAGTGAGTCGAGCTTTGTTTTGTTTATTGTGTCCACCAAAGTCCATTCTAGGGCGAATTAGGATAAACAATTAAATTAAATATTTATTATAAATAAGAACATAATAATGAATATAAAATTTCCCTCAATGAGATTGTTTTCCATTTTAATGAATATTTCATTTGAGATTTTAAAGAAAGGTGGATGTTAATAAATACTTTTAGAATATTAGTTTAAAATAGAAAATATTCAATTACAGTTTAAAATAGAAAATATTCAATTACAATAAAAATTAAAACGCTTGTTATGTTAAAAACGAAAAATAATAATAATACCTTTTATTAAGTTAACAAGTTTTTCATGCGTACAAGTAAAATACGAGTTAGTGTTTAGCGTTTACTTACGCGTCCCACATCGTGTGAAACTATTAACAATAACTAATTTGGCTTGTATAAGGGATTAGGTATTTCACATTCACGATCATGATCCTTCAGGCAGTAACGGGGATATGAGGAGTGGATGGATCTCGCGAATTTAATGCGAGTGGAGTGTCCTCCCTAAAGCCTGGTTACGACAACCTGGGCACTCTTCGAACTTCCAATCTGATCCCTATTGTGAAGGATCAACCTCAAATGGAACGAAATATTATGTTTCGTCGTATGTTAAGATGTTTCTCCCTTTTTAATTCACTATTTGATTTATGTTTATTGCCCTTGTCATATTCGCATAATCGCTGGGAAATATTTCGTTAATTTCCTCCAAAAGAATATAGTATATAAAATTAGGAAATTAGTGGGTAAATCTGTTTTTTGAAAAACATGATAGTTTCAGCATATCTATAATTTGTCATGAAATATTTTATTTGGAAGAAAGTATTTTGTACTTAATGCATTGGTAGTAGTTTAGTAGAGTGTGTAATTTCTATGCTTCTTATTAAAAAAAATTAACTGTTTGTCAGTACAAAAATTACTTTATGTCAAAAGAATGAGCGTTAGTTAAGAGCGCAAAAATAAAATTAAAAGTTAAGCGGAATACACGACTAAAATTTTAAAGAAATTAACGTGTCATCGGCCTTGAAAGAATATATAAGCTTATAATTTTAGTGATAGGAATTCAACTATTTCCCTGTACAAAATTAATTGTAAAGTTAAAAGAATAGGCTACATATATCGATATATACATGCTAAAAGGTTTAAAGAAATGAAGGATGAGTGTCGTCGGGAAGCAAGAACTTTAAATGAAAAACATAGAGCGAGAAGCGAGGACCCAAGACAAGTGTAGGTGAAGGAAGCCTTTAGTATCTTTATCTTAACCCATCCATTATATCCCAAACGTTGTAGTTTTGGTGGTTAAAAACGTGTCTTGAACTGAAGAACTCCTTAGCAGGTGAACTCCCAGCACTTTTGGTCCCATGCAATTCCCTGGCTTCTCTTTTCTTGGCCAAACCAAGATCCTCGCTCTTGCTAATTCCTGGGTTCCTTCTTCTTGCAATGACCTCTTCCAACAACCTCCTATCCTCTTGAGAAAGAGTTCCCAACGGCTTCTTGTTATTTTCCACAGATAGAATTAAAAACTGTCGCATCTTGGACTGAAGTTCAAGTCCCTTTGGAGGAGACCATGAAGGCATTGGCCTCAAGGCATTTTGTCTTGACCTTACAGAGCTAACCAAATGGTGAAGCCATGCCAACAATTCAATAATGTGAAGATCTATCTTCTGCTTATCAGCATAATAAAGTGTCTGGATGCGAATCGGGTTACTTTCTTTGGCTGTGTTGTCACCTAAGTCGTTACTGAAATATCACAACAAAAGTTATCAGACTTTCCTTGGCAACTCATCTTGTTATTTGTTTATGTTGCACATTTAAACATAATTATATATCAACTGAGATCCAAGTTTATAACTAACCTTGTGTTTGCCCATTCACCAACCCATCCAAAACCTTGATGTGCTCTGTCAACAATATCAATAGAAAAAACGCATAAGAAATTGTGGGACTTTTAACGTATTTTGATTTAAGGAAATAAGGGTAGCATGGGGAGAAAAAAATGAGCAGGTATAGACAAAATTCAAATGAATATATTGCATATCTTACTTGATTGTATTTGTGGCAAATGGTAAAAGCCACTGAAGAGTCTTATCCATTTCCGCTTTGAGTTGTGTGATGGATAGCTACAGAAAATAGCCATTACATTTAGCATAATAAAAAGTGCAATACAACCAAACATTCAAGATGCCGGTGTGACTAACCCAAAATGAATGACACTACAAATAGGACTAGAAAATGCAATGCAATGGATATCAAGAGGTGGAAGGGTATACCTCTTTCATGTCAGCAATGGTTTGCAACCGGGATGGAAGAGCACTCTTAACACTGTTAGGCAAACTGTGATATAATGTGTCCCGTGTATTTGTAGGAAGAGAGGTTGGGCGAGATGCCTGATTGAGACAAAGTAACCCATTGTTATTTAAACGAAAATAATTATTTGGTAAGGTCATTGCAAATCTTACTAGCATGGATGCATGATACAAACTTACAATCATATTTATCTGGTTAATGATGTTAGCATAGTGTAGTGCAAGACCAGCTTCACCTATTCTTTGGGAACCTTGACTGTACTCGGTAGCAGTTTTACCTGCCAAGAATCCACAATTCAAATGTTCTATAACTTGTCAATGAGATCTACATGATAGATAGCCCACACACACATCACACAAAGTAGATTTTCATACATGACTGGAACATTAACATAAATAATATCATTAAGGAATTCACTTAATAATAATCTTGCACTTCCCCAAAGTAAGCCAACCCAAGCAGAAAAGATAATTTAGCAAAAGAACAGTTGTAATATCATTCAGCTAATTAGATCTAAAGCTTAATAGATGTGATGAGTTCCTAGTGCATGCACACACTAGATCGATTAGATACAGGATTGGTTTTTAATTAATAAGTGATATGATCTCATACCATGATTTCCAAGGAGCTCATAAATTGCTTGATGCATATAGGTAACAATATCAACAAGCTTTTCAACAATCTGCAATAAGTAAATCAAATTCAAATAGAATAAATCCATTTTTGGAAATCTGCAGCCATAAAAATGAACTTCTACACTAATATCTAAAATTCCATTCAAATAAGGAAACATACCTCCTCCAAACTTCTGGACCAAAGAGACTTCTTTTTCAAGCTCCTCACAAGCTTTCTCTGATGCTTTAGCTCACTTTGAAAAATCGTGATACTCTCCCCTACAATTGTAAAGAGAGTATGTCTGACAATCATTAGTAACTTCTGCAGTTTAAATTTGTAGATGTCCTACTACAGTCAATATATGTCATACTGAAAATCCAAACTGCATCTGAAACTACTTCTCAGGCCAATGATAATGAGAATATATTTAGGCAGAAAAGGGTATACTTGCTTATAAAAGTGAGTAACAAATATCATAAACCGGTAACATTTTTTGTGAGATTACATACACCATCTCAAGTAATAAGATGCGATAGCAAACTGAGCAAATTAAAAAAATAAACTAAAATCATCAGTAGAATACCAGGTACTATTTGGAAAAATTTTAGGGAAAACTATTTATGTTTCAAACCTTTTAGAGGAAGATTTAAGGACTCCATTTCCTTAATCTTATGCAGATAATCTTGTTCAAAACGTTCATAAGCACTTAATTCATGGTATAATTCCTACACAAAAAAAAGGAGAAAATTAGTTGCTTAAAGAAGGAACTAGTGAACTACTATAAAACATGCAACTGGAGACCCTAATTTAAACCAGTAAAACAAAAGTCATAGAGCATATCAGAAGTAGGAAACATAAATAAAAGAACTAATATAACTAAACCTGGCATCGTACTTAAAAAATGCATATTAGTAAACCCAAAGAAATAAGAATCAAAATCATGCCACACACATGCAAGAAACTAAGATGATGACAAATGTTTTGCTAAGCCATCAGTTCACTGAGGAGATAAAAATATGTGCAAAACTTGATTTGAAATGACAGTGTGCTTACAGCAGTATGTTGAACTAGATTGGTAAACTCCTGCATTGTCTTCTCTGCCTCTACCCGATATTGTTTGTCACCCAGGACATCCAAGTGTAATCTGATATATGGACAAAAATTTTAAATTAAAGTGAAACGTTTGTGATTGTAATCACCTAATAATTCAATCATGATAAGTTAGCATAATCTTGTCATAAGCAATGTATAAGGAAACTCGCCTTGAGAAATATCGATCTAGGTTATGCCACTGTGGGTCTTTACACATATTTCCAAATCTAGCTACTTCCCGTGCAAAGGCATTGAATTCTTCCCTATTAGCCACCAAAAAATCAGAGACAAAGAACATAAAACAAATTCAAAAGGCAGGCTATTCTTTGAACAAGCTAAAACCTTTTGTCAGCCTCTGCAAGACTTAATAACTCCTTGGTCTCAGTGGAGACTAATTGTTGAACCCCTTCAGATTGTAAAATTTCCTTTTTAAGAAGCTGAATGTTTTCTTCAGAAAGTGATTGAAACAAACTTGCTCCTTTGGTTATTGTATTAGCTACTTCAAATGCCAATATTGATATTTTATTCCCTCTAGAAGCCGTTACAGAGACAAACCCAGTACTCGTGTTTAACTTTGACATCCCACTTCCAAGTGTGTCAAGAACTTCCACTGCCCTCTCGCCAGCTTTTCCCAGAAAAGAACCCTTCTGAGAGACCTATGAGAAACAAAATATATCAATCATGAAACATTATAATTCAAACGCGTAAGTACCAGAAGCTCAAATTACTCTCTTAATTATTGAATCATGTCATTAATTTATTCATAACTGGCCATTCAGACGTTGCAAGCATCAATGTACTGTTCCTTATTACCAAGTGCTTGTTCAATGGCAAACTCTACGCCCTATGATTCCTCTTAAACATGCAATTCTAGAATAACACGAAAGCCCTGAGCACCAATTTCAACAAAGCCAATCCAAATGAATCCACCCACAAAAATGTGACAATTTCTCTGCATTCAAGAAAAATACCTGTTTTCCCCCCATTGAAGCAGGAGTCGATAAACCAAGTTCAGTGGAAAAACGAGTTTCGTGCTTCATTTGTTTTTTGCCTTGACCATTATTACTATCTCTCCGATTCATAAAGCTATTTTCCTTCTTAAGCTTCCCAGAAAACCCCAAACTCTTCCCTCCAAGCTCTGCATTCTTCTCCACCATCCCAGCAGAACAAACCGCTCCCATTATTCTTCAAAATATTACGAACGAGCACAAAAAAATTAAAACCAAACACCTGCAGAAAAGTAAATAAAGAGTTTCGAGTTTCAACAAAACACGGTGATTCGATTGAAGAATTTTTATAAGTGAACAAACGCAAAATGGTTTCAGAGCTTACCTGTTTGCAGATAATATAGGAATTGGAGAATGAAATTGCAATTGAGAAATGAGAATGGAAGATTAGGAAAGGAGGAGCGTTGGATTAGTAAGGAGATAGATATGAAAAAGGAAAAGTCGCTGAGAATTTACGACTCTGGGGTTTGACTAAAACCTTGAAAGATAGAGATGACATGTTGATGACATTCATAAGGTTGAATATTTTGAAGGAAAAAATAAAATTAGTAAAAGTGAGCAATTAATGAAAAGGGGAAACGCGCAAAAGGAATGTAGTATTTGACCAGCAATGAAGAGAAACGACAACGCTCCCTGCGTTCCTTCTCTATCGTTTACTGCGTATAAAACATGAGAACGTGAAAACACAGCAAATCCAAGTCGCGCCCGCCATCTGTACCAAACCGCGGTAATTAACATTCCCATCACCGTTTAATTATGCATTCAACTTTTTTAGATTCATAATACTCACATTAGTTTCAAATTTTATGATATATGTTAGACTTTTAGTCTCCGTTTACTTTATTTAGTTTTTAGAAAAAAGGTACAAACTTGTTCATCTATTCACTTTCTGATTTTTTTAAAGAGAGATTAAATGAGTTGATTTGTCTTCGATCGGTATAGAAATTTTTTTTATATTCTTTTTGTGTAACTTAATTTTTATTTCAGAATTTTTCAAATTAAATATTTAATATATTTTTTTATTTTTACTATACTAGATTTTATTAAAATATAAAGCATTTATAAAACATTAAGAATAAAATAATTTTGCCTTCTAAATGTTATCATTGTTTTTAAGTAAACAGTTGACATTTAATTAATTAATACGTTTTCACGAACGTATCCATGCGATGCTTTTGACAAAGTAATACCTTAACGAATTATTGGCATGTCTTTGATTCTTTACAAAGACTGTTCATCAAGTCTATGATCATATATACAAGATTCTATCTGTCTTATTAACTTAGTAATTTGTTTTGACTTCTTATTGATTTTGATATGTTTGAATTTATAAGATTAGACTTGCTATATTTCAAAATCAAATTTTTTTATTTGACTTAATATTTTTTTAAAGTTATACTTTTTAAAATAATTGTGAATTAATAATGAAACTTTAAAATTTAATAAATTATATTTTATATATTATAATATCATATTGATACTGATGTTATTTATTTTAATACATGATAATATATTTTAAATTTTATACTTTATAAGCATTATATTCTAAATATATATTATTGAATTTTAATCATACTAGAGAAAAAATAGCTCCATTTAATTTTTAATAAAATAAGAACAAAAATAGTAATAAACTCATTCCAGTCTGTCCTCAATTTAGCCCTTTCGTTTCCCACTCAACTTTCAATCAAAAACTTGAGAAGATCAAATTCTTTCCTCCTTGCCCGTCAACAATCATTGCGTGACTCGCTGTATTTGTGGATACGCATCATATAATGCATAAAATGTACGTCCAAAAAGGTTGCAGCGTTAAGATAACGTGCGTGTAAAATAAAGTGATGTAAGATTAAATATAGCATTAAGTTTTTTTATAGACAGAGTTAACAATATATTAAGTTAAAAAAATTAGTCTCCAGTTAAAATTCATTTAAATCATTTATTAATGAAATTAATTATCAATAAATATAAAAATTGACTTAACAAAGGCATAATTAAATTTCGTTTCATAAATTTCAAGGTTAAACAACTGAGTTATAAGGAGGTTTATATTATATTGTTGTCTTTATATTTGAGTAACATTTATAATCCTTATATATAAAAAAGATATATAAATCAATCTTTCCAGGTATATTTATTTTTTATTTAACTCGTATAGTTACGTTTAAATTAAACGACCTTAGTTGTCTTCACTTTTTTACTTAACTCCATTTTGCAGCCGCATTTGACGATATCATCCTCAAACAATCTTTTTTTTTACTCGACTCCTTTGCTTTCTCACGGTCGCCGCCGTAAAGTACCATAGCGAAATGATTGAAACGAATACTCCGACTGAAAATTTAATTATCTAGTTATTGACGTCGTTCTAGCCGAGCCTCACCGGACGACATTTTTTGCAGATGATTTTGCCGCAGAAGTCAAGGTTGAAAGTGAAGAAAAATGCTTAAAAATGGAACAGTGCGGGAGTAACCGGAACGGTGCTGAAGAAGGTAAAACATTCGGAGAGAAAACTATTCAAGAAGCAATACAGTGAGAATTATTCGTTGAAAGTTTTTCTGTGTAATTTTGCATATATCTTTATATATATATATAAAAGTATATGGAAAAGTTGTAATGAGTTTTGGAAAAAAAATTGCCATCACTTTTTAATACAATAATTTTTATATAATAATTAATAATTATTATTTAAGATCATCTTAAATGCTTTAATTTAAATCAATTAAATCTATTTATTTTTAATTAATAGTTTTGATATATCTTTATTTTTAAGGTCGTTTTAAATAATTTAATTTAAATTAATTAAATGTATTTATTTTTAATTAGCAGTATTTATATATTCAAAAAGTGCATCTTTTGTGACAAATTTAAACCTTAATATTAATGTTTATTTTAAATTTTATTATTAGAAATTAATAACTGATAAAATTATATAAAACTCTTGAACTTTAAATTAAGTTTATTATAAAATTAAAAAAATAAGTAAAAAAAAGACATAGAAAAAAGTGAAAAGAAAATCAAATATATTGATTTGATTCTCAATGACTTGAACTGAGTATTATTTTATAACATATTTTAATGGCTAAAATATTTGTTTAATATTTTTTCTCTTTCATTACTTTATACTAATTAAGATTATATTATATTGAATTTGTTTCGTAAGAATTAGAGAATTGTTTGCACTTTATGGGAGGAGTTTGATGATCAAATGGTTGTTTTTTAAAGAATGAAAATTCTAATGATTTACCTATTATGATTATTCAATTATGTAAAGTGAAAACATTTGGTGGTATGATTCTTTATCTATATTGAACTCTTTTTAATTGTGTAATAGTTATTATTATCAATAAATTATATTTCATAGTTGTTTCAGGAACTTTAGGCGTATCAAATGTTTATAATGAGACAATGTTGTATATCAATCTTAACATAAAAGAGGCTATTGATTACAAGAATAAGTAAGTATTTTAATTATTTTTTATTTATAGAGACATCATTATGTTTTTCATGATGTTTCCTGTTTTTGTTAACTTATAAGCTATCCAATTTGTCGTATAAGATGAATATGAATGATGCAGGTATAAGTCAAGTATTAAGTTCGATGGGTACTCTTCTGTTTCAATAGAAGATGATTTGCTCCAAGCTCAAAGCATGACCATATATACATGGAATAATTGAGACAAATTATGTATGTTTTGTATTGAAATAATGAAGTGAAATGCATATAATTAGCAGTTAAATATAATTTTAAATTTTAATATAAATGATTTACTTTAAATTTTATTCTTGAAAACTGATAATTTGTATATAATTAACGAGGAATAATGGAATAAATGAATAAGAATTGATGAGTATATATATATATATATATATATATATATATATATATATATAGAGAGAGAGAGAGAGAGAGTTAAAAATTTCTTTCAGCTTATTTGATTGTAGAAACAGACGCCTCAGATCTAGGATATGGGAGAATTCTTAAACAAAAATTACCAGAGTCTAAAACAGAACAAGTTATAAGATATTATTCAGGAATATGGCATCCTGCACAACAAAAATATTCTACTGTTAAGAAAGAAATTTTAAGCATTGTTTTATGCATTCAAAAATTTCAAGATGATTTATTTAACAAAAGATTTTTAGTAAGAACTGATTGCAAAGCAGCACCTTCTGTTTTACAAAAAGATGTTTAAAACTTAGTTTCAAAACATATTTTTGCCACATGGCAAGCATTATTATCTATTTTTTATTTCAAAATACAACATATTAAAGGAGAAAAGAACTTTTTATCAGATTATTTAACAAGAGAATTTTTACAAGAAAAATGTTGAAAATGACTAGTGCCAACTATGCCCTACCAAAAAAGAGTGAACCATAAATACCAAAAACCCCCCACCAGAGATAAAGGTAAAAAGCCAATAACTTGCTTACAAGTATTATAAAATAAAACTCAAATCCAAGCACAAGAATTAACCAAACAATATACAGTTTTAGCCAAACCAGGACAAAATTCCCAAACAGCCACTACCCTAACTAGAAAATTACCATCATGGGCAGAATCTGCTTATAAAAGACCCACAATAACTGATAAGACTCCAAAGTACTTTGAAAAACCATATGGCCTTCCTATAATGGAAATAGAAGCATAATGGTTTAAATTAAATCGTTCTGAAATAGCAAAAAGAGTTTTTCCTCAAGATTGTCATGTAGTTCCATCATCATCAGAACAAAAAAGAGAATTTTATGAGCTAATCCTTATTGATTCAAAATCAATAAAATTAACTCATAAGAAAAATGGGAAAAAAGAAATTATTTTTTCAAAATTTGTCAGATACTCACTCCAAAAGAGTGGGGACAACACCTATACTATTATCGAAAGTTTACAATAGAATATCAGCCTCCACAATATAATTACTTTGATTATATGAAAGCATGGGAGAAATTTCTATTTTTTCGACCAGACACCCATTCCTGGTTCATTTGGTTCAGGAAAGGGATTTCTTTATATTTTTCAAAATAGTTTTCAGCTTGGTGCAATTAAACAAATTCTACCAGAAAGAGCTCAAATTGCCTTAGCTCATTTCCAAGAAAAAACCAATTTTCAAGAACCATATAAATTCATTTCTTTCATAGCCTCATAAGGTATTTCATGAATAATAATGTGACAGTATGATTCTGCCAAGCTAGAATATGATTCTTCAATACAGTTACTAATAAGAACCATAAAAGTTAAGTGGTGGGTTAATTTTGATATAGATTTACTCACTACCGAGAAAATTATACAATGGGTACATAACAATGTTCAACATCCTTCTTTAAATGAGACCGTGATCAAGGATAAACAAAAACAAGCCTTTCTTCAACAAAAAGCAAGATTTCTGGCTAGTTTAAGCACAGTTGGAAGCGAAGAGGAGTTCAAGAAAATCATTGAAACCATATCTTCAGAAGTTACCAGCATAACCTTTGATCAAGACAACAGAAGAAGCCTTAGTCCAGCAGGTGACAATGACTATGGCTATTTTGATAATGAAGATGATTGCTATGAAATCTCTCTGTAGCCACAAAAGACA